TTATTGTTTTCAGTGCATCAAAAACTCTATGACTATAACCACTTACACATGCATTAGAATCAACAAAACAGGAACATGTTAAAATGACTTTGATCAGAGCTCCAGTTCAAGGCTTAAGAGACAAAAGTACTCGAGGAAAGAACAGGAGAATAGGAGGTACTCTGGGAATGTATATGTTAATTCTATTCTATTCTATTCTATTCTATTCTTCTTTAACATGCTTAAAGGAATGGTTCACCCATATATGAAATTTCAGTCATTATTTACTCACCCTGGTGCTGTTGCTGTATAACCTTCTAGTGACTTGTGCCATAATTTGCAAATGTTCTGAGGGCATTCGATAAGGTTTGGTTAAAAAAAAAAAAAAAACAACTGATCGAAACTTAGAGAAAATCCTTACTTTGGTTGTTGGTCTGCACACAAACACTCCACTTTGAGAAATCACGATTAATACAATACGACATGAAACGGGGCTCCTAGAAAATGATGCACATACTTTAATTTTTGCGGTAAATATCTCTGGTTAGATGACGGTCAGAATGAGAGTCGACAGATATAAATGCAAGAACTCGCTTTGAACAAAACAGAGTTTCGGTCCAGAGATATTCACCTGAAACAAGAAAGTACATGTATACTAGTATACTTTTGTCAACCTTTTCTAGGCATTGTGTTAAGTGTAGTGTTTTGGTAGATTTGATTTCTCGAAATGGTGTGCTTGTGTGCTTTTCCTGGGCAAGCCAGAGTGAACTGCTGCGCTGACTGTTCTCATGAACAGTCATGCACAGCAGGCCAACAGCCAGGATGTTCGCTAAATAATATATTCATTTTTATTTTGAATTTACCAAATCCTATCACATGCCCTCAGAACATTTGGAAAATACAGCACAAGTCACATGGGATCATTCTGTGATACTTTTTAGGTTTGAAGCTGGTTAATGACTATTCGCTGCCATTATATGAATGAGCGCGAACTGGACATTTGATTTTTTCTCTTTTTTGTGGTCTAAAAAAGAAAGAAGGTCATATGTCATTAAAACAACAACAGGGTAAATAAATAATGACTTGATTTTCATTTTTGGGTGAACTATCCCTTTTCTTTTCCATTTTATTCTATTCATGTTTCTCATGCTCTATTCTGTTTTGCTCTATTCAATTGTGCTTTATTCTTTTCTATTCTATTCTTTTTCTGTAGTGGTGTCTGGTTTAAGGGGACTGTTTACCCTGATTATAATCCTGCGTTTGGTTGTGTTACTTGGAAACAGTGATCCTGAGAGCGTGTTGATATGCTCCGTTGTGTATCAGGTGTCCTGCTCGGCAGTTTTCTGATGCGAGCTGCGAGGTTGTGATCGGAGGTGAAATATAGGCCAGAACATTGTACACGGTCAGTCCGATTCCTCAGAGATCAATTAAATGCTGTCCTGTAAGAGCTCACGCTGTGCCCTTGTGTACGGCAGAAACCTTGTGGTTGGCTTGCGCTTTACGGAGATCATTAACAGTGTCCAGAACTTGATAGGAGAATCTGTTGATCCCTGGATTAAGTTAATGCGTGTGTGTGTATGCGTACTGAAGCATTTGACACCTGATTGGTTCACAGACACGTTTGGCAGCACTGATGGTGTCGGTTTTTCCTGCTGTGTTTCCTCAAGCAGGTGAACGTGTCCCACTTACAGCACACTGACCCACACACAATACAATCAATGGGATAGTTCGCCCAAAAATGAAAACTGTATCATTATTTATATTCTCATGACAATCCAAACCCATATGACTTTTCATAAAATTGTGTTAATTTACTTCACAAAAACACTGATGAAAATATTTGTTGACAACCTTTTTTTCCATGACTAAGATGAGACGGCACCAACATCATTAAACACTAACTGTGTCTATATCAAGATGCAGTACAGTGCTGAAAAAAGATGAGAGTTTAAAATATAAAAACTCTATATTCAAAATATCTATATTTTCTTCAATAAAAAGAGAAAAAAATATAGACTTCCACAAGTTTTCATATTAGGGTTGCCGGTCAAAAAAAAAATCTGCCATCAAAACCGAACTGTAATTAATCCAAACATGGTCTTTTTTGTTGTTGTTTTAATGGAAAAACATGAATATAATTTGGAATTATTGGGTTTAATATTAAGAATTTCACTAGCTTTTGAGAGAAGCTTTTGAGTTTTAAGTTAAACTTGAGTGAAACTAGATGAGGTAAAATAAGTGAATAAAAGTTAAACATTTTTATATGTGCTTATAGGTGAAAGTGATAACAATAATTCAGATAAAATTTCTCAGATGACAACATTCATGATCAATAATTATGATTATAACTGAGCAAACTAATTGTGATTATCAGTTTAACCATTATGCAGCCTGACTAATAGTTTTCATTGACTAAAACTAAATTAAAAAACAGCACTGGTTGACTAAACATGTCAAAGACTACAAGGACATTTGACTCAAGACTAAGAGTAAATTTAAAAACAACTGATATCATAAAACACAAAAAGACAAGTTTAGCATTATGTCCAAACATCTTTTTTCCCATTCATTGAACATAAATAGTGCTCAGGACAATCTGGCTCCATAAAATCATTCCGTAAGTTTTAATATAAAGGTACTTTTTGTCATTTTGTGTAGCCGTTTTAAGGAAAAAGCAATTTTAGCATTCTGCAAAAATATCTTTTGGGTTCCACCGAAGAATGAAATTCATATGGGTTTAGAACGTCACTGAAGGTGAGTAAATGAAGACAGATTTTCCTCCTCTCCTCTGTCTCTCTGTGTTCAGTAATATTGTGGAGCAGCTGTGACCTTTGCAGAAGCGTTATTGTGTATTTGTGCTGTGACAGCTTTAGTGCCAATATGTTGTGAAGAATTCTCACCTCTGCAAGTACAAGTGTGTTTCACTGGAAATGGATCCGGCCATGTGTGTGTGTGTGTGTGTGTGTGTGTGTGTGGGGTGTCTGGCAGTATTTGCAGTTGGACACAGAAGCAGATGCTGCGCATGCATGTGTGTTTGGGTGTGCGTTTAACATTTAGTGTCCAGACCTTTTCGCTTGCAGAGAGTCGTGTGTGAGAGCTCTTCCTCTGGACATAACTGCCAACGATGGGACAGATGTCACACAGTGATTGTTTTAGTGTAAATAGAAGTGTACTGTACTGTAGTAGTATATGCGCGCATATAGCTGTGCTCAGGTCAGACGGTAAGTGAACATGCAAAGCATCATGAGGTCAGAGTGGGATTCAGACTCTGATGACTGCGACTGGAGCGACAGTGAAGAAGAGGACAATCAGCAAACTCTGAGGCACGCTTAATTCTTTAATCAGTGTTGAAACTTCTAAATATTGATATTTTCACATTTTAGTAACTTATTTGGCTTATTTGATTTTCAGTCAAAATAAATTTTCATTTTGATCTACAGGTTTTGTAGGCTAATATAAATTATGCATATAGTTTATAAATTTGTATTTCTCTCTAAATGTATGTGTGTATATATATATATATAGAGAGAGAGAGATAGATAGAGACAGATATGTATGTGTGTGTATTTTTTAATTATAATTTTTTCATTTTTAATATATTTTTTAAATGGATGATTAGATTGGATTGTCTATGTGCAGTTTGTTACTGTTTAAAAAAATCTCAAACAGCACCTCATGAAATTGAAGGACAGCATTAAATAAGCTCAAACATATTAAAGTTTTGATAATTTTGTGTTATTATCTGTTATTTTATTACTATATATAATTAATCTTAATATTTGTGTGTCATTTTAATATTATTATGAATTTGTAATTATTAATATTTAGGATACTTATAATTCATTTTAATAGCTAATATTAATATATACGTATGTTTATCTATAATGATGTATATTTATATATAATTATTTTAATAGTATTCGAATTTTAATTATATATAGTTTTATATATTTATATATAAATAATTAAAATATATTATTTTAGTTATAGTAGTTAAAATAATATATTTTACTTTATAATATTTTTGTAATTATTTTAATTGATATGTATAATTATAAAAAAAATTAAAATATCTTAATAGTAATATATCTGTGTATAATTGGAATGTATCAGAACATTATAACATGATGTTTTTCTGTACTGCGTTCGTGTCTTTTGAACAGGGAGGATATCAGAACAGCTAACGTCATCGCAGCAGAGTCTGTCACCTGCCTTGTGATCGACAGAGTGTGAGTATATGTCACGTATATCCTGTGGCAAAGAGTTTCGTTATATACACTGCTTAAAACATCACAAGTGTAATTGACATTCCAGCAGAAGTAATTCAGTCCAGGTTTTCCAGTTCGTTGAACATCTGTGGATTTTACACCGATCTTTCTATTTGTATGCGTGTGTGGAACACAGAATCTGTGGGTTTGAAGTGCTTATCTGCTCCCTTATAGAACTCAATAAATCAAGCTCAACCTAAATAGCTAAAGTGTCACGTGTGTCAATAAGCTGGAAAGAGTGAGACAGACAGAGAGAGAAGCACATATGTGCCCTCCGGCGGGGAAAACTCTCTTTCCTGTCTGACTGAGACTCAAAGCCATCAGCCATCTGTGTGACAGCTGATTATGGTACATTTCAATGAGACGTATGTCATGTAGATATAAAACTTTTACTATACATTAGTACTGACTTTCTAAATTAAGAGAGAGACATGAAATAGTAATTAAGAGTCACTGAGAGATAGAAATCAGTTCGTTCTCGAAGATAAATGGCAGTTCTGTCGTATCAAGCTCAAACTTTTGACCACTATAGTTTATTTGTCATAAAGATGAAGTCTTTCCAACAATGTTGTTTGTGCCATTCTTTTCAGCTCATACAAACATCTGATTGGAGGTCTGGAAGACGTATCCAACAAAGGCAGTGAAGACGCAGAGGCAAAGGCAAAGTAGGTGAAATCATCTTTGAAGACATTTCATTATTATGTTTTCTTCCCCGAGGTCCATTTATAATAATGGTCAAGGATTCAAAAGTTACAAAAGTAAAAATTCTCTATTCATGATATGCCACATCACTATCAAAAGTATTGTGGGCAGTCTGTTAAGTCTAGTTAGTGATGTCACATCCACATCAGTTTATGTAGAATCTATTGCACAGAAATACTGCTACATTATTCTGTTGGCATTTCTAAATGTGAACCAGGTTTATTAGTTGGTATGTGAAAAGAAACAGTAATATTTACAAGTTCCCAAGCTGTTACAGTGACTGCTTTTAAACTATACTGTATTTGCCAGTTTGTTGAAAGCTTTGAATTTCTGAAATATTCAGTTTTTGAACTGAGTTTCATTTGAGACAAAAAACAGGGTCGGTAAAATATTTTAATGTTTTTGAAAGAAGTATCTTATGCTTACCAAGGCTGCATTTATTTGAATGAAAATACAGTAAAAAGTAAAAAAAAAAAATTACTCCAGTCTTGATCTGGTCACATGATCCTTCAGAAATCATTCTAATATACTGATTTGGTGCACAAGAAACTTTTGTTATTATCAATGTTGAAAACAGTTGTGCTGCTTTTGCGGAAACTGTGATACATTTTTTCAGGATTCTTTGATGAACAGGAAGTTCAAAAGAATGCCATTTAAGTTAAGTTATACTTTATTGTCCTTTACAGGAAATTTTATCTTGGACTCAAAAGCTGCAGTAGTACACAACAACCACACACAATAACAACATCAGCATTATTAAGAGAGAGAAGGGGGGAAAAATCCCATCAAAGTTACAACTTACTATTTAAAATCCTAATAGATACAGGTATAAATGGATTCTTGTAACGATTACTTCTACATAATGGAACTCTATAACGTTTTTTTTAATTGAAACATTTTTTAATTTATTTGAATAGAAATCTTTCTGTGACATTTTAAATGTCTTTACTGTCATTTTTGCTCAATCGAATGTATCCTTGCTTAAAAGTATTACTTTATTGTTAACCATTTTTTTGTTTTTTGCTTAGTGTATGTCTGATTTCAGATTTAGCTGCCTCCAAATATTGCATAAAACAAGTGAAATGTGGTTGGTCTCTTTTATATGAGGTTTCTTCCTCTTTAAGTTGGCGATAGTGAAATACAAAAGTCTAGAGGTATGGCAGCAATTACAATGCAGTTGTCAAAGGGCAGCTCAAGGATGTTTGCTGAAACTCTAGAACTGTAAAGCAGAAAAGGCTGTGCTAGCATGCAGAAGACATGTTATAAAGAACCAGCAACTGTTCATGATCAGAAGAAACATGATGAGAAAGCGATGCAATCATTGTGCGGCGATGAGAAAATAATCCGCTCAGAGACATGTGAAACCTTATCACATTTCACAGAGAGAATATCAGGCACTGACAGAGAGAAAGAGGGATTCTGGGATAGTTCAGAAACACATTTCCCACTTCAAAAAATCCCTTCTGTGTCATATCTGAACCGAAATAGAAACTTTTCTTCCTCGTATCTGCTTATCTGCAGTGTAAATTAGCGTCTGATGAATAATGAAGAGGTGTCTGTAGCCTGTTTGACTGTCATAGATTAAAGCTTATTAAGACACATCTACAGCTGTCACCTCCTGCACTGCGTCCCCCGTGATCCAAACTACAAACCTGTAAATAAATCTCCAGCTGCCACGCTGACAGATAGAGAGCACTCTAATGAGACAAGTGCGTTCAGCTCTCCTTAAGGTGTCATTTCTGCATCATTCTGCAAGGCATTGCAAAATACAGTAGATGCTGTCCATAAAGAACCCATAAAGCTCCATATTGCCACCTTGTGGTCAATCAAATTAACTCTGTATTTCACCTATGATGAATTGGAGAAGCCGTGAGTCTGGAGCATCACACATGCTTAATCAGCGAATGTCTCACAGGTTTATATTTCAATCAAAGCAGTTTGATTTGGATGATTCCTCAGGCATAAAATATCAGTAAATCGTCCAGCAGAATTGTGAAGTTCATGTAAGTGTTGCTAGCTGTCAGACCTTTTTATCAGCATGCATGAGCACAGAGAAGGCTGGAAGCTAGAACCAGTGTCATGAACACATGCCTGCTTCCTCCTCGAGAGTTTAAGTCTCAGTTATGTTTTGGTTGATTGACTTAAGACATGCGACATGCATTTGAAAGCAGGTGATGTTTTCAAATGGCTGAAAGCTTGATTAAAAAGTCATCATGCAATCTAAATTTATTTAAATATATTATTTTACTTAATAATATTAAGTATTATTTAAAAAAAATAGTTGGCATATTTTTATTTTATTTTTAATGGGTCTTTGAGACTCTTGCTGTCGAATCTGCCAGCCCTGAAGCTGGTGTGAGACATTAAACATCTCCAGCTTTCAGCTGAGGAATGAATTTCTTCTGTTTATAGTCTTAGTGAGGAGTTTTGGCTTGTATCCATGCCTCTTTCCAAAACTGCACTCTTGTTTGTGCATTGCTCTATTCCTGCAGAACATGTCAGGCATTGAACTTCTCTGGCCCTGCCAGCCTAATAACTGATTATGTGAAAGGGATTGAATAATAACTAAAGCACGCTTGTGTGTGCGCGCGCTAGTTTTTAGGACCCTTGGCAGAGTGCATGGAAAATCGTAACCTCTGTGTGACACTGCAAAGCAATTTTTGCCAAGCTAAATAGCAGCTCAGTCGTGTCATTGGCCATGGCTCAAGCGAAGGGATTTGATTGGCCAGTTCTGCATCATGGGCTAATATAACTATATCACAGGTCACAGGTCAGTCTGCAAACAGACATCCAGCAGCATTTTATTTGCAATGTTACAGAATCCTTATGCCATTTTGACCTCTAATGAATCTTCTTTATGATTGCAAATATTAGTGGTTAACAAAAACTTATTTTGTTAAAGTTAACTGATGCTAATGCATTGATCTTTACAGTCAAAAAGCTGTTGGTTGCATTCAAAATAAAACTGACCTTATAGAAACCTGTGCTTTGAAACATGGGTCATAATCTTAAAAATCTTGATCTAAATGCATCTACATGAATTCTTAAAGTTAGGCATGATTTATTTTTGGGTACCATGTATGAATTTACTACATAATATTATTGTGTATAACAATTTCCCCCCAAACTTACATAACAGAAAAAAAAAGTAAAAAAAACCTATGGAGTATATGATGATATGATGAGTATATGACGATGACTAGTATATAATGACTAGTACATAATAAAACTAATACTAATAATATTCATATTAATAACAGGCTAGTGAAGGAAAAGTAACATGTGACAAGTGACTTTTTAAAAAGCATCCCAGAATGCACCTTTTGAAGCTTCAGAGTATATCTTGCTTGTACAGAGCTGTGATCTAGACAAAGGGTGATGAAAATTTCATGAGATTTGAGTTTTGATTTGCTTATCAAGATTCGCCCCACTAGATAGACAGAGGGAATATATTCATCCTCCACTCTTGTCTGTTCTTTGAAATGCAGATACGAGGCAGAGAACGCATTCTTCTCCAACCTAAACCTGTCTGACTTCAACATCATCGACACTCTTGGTGTTGGAGGATTTGGACGTGTTGAACTGGTAACATCAAACGCCATGTTTTCAGTGCAATATTTGTTTTATGTAAAAGTGTGCATTTTTCTCCAAATTATGATGTCATCATGGATTTTGGATCATATTGTGTATTTCAATAGTAGTTATATTATAGTCATTTATTCGGATATGATTTTTTTGTGTGTGTGTGAGATGATACACAAAAAGTTGAAGTAATAGTTTTATCTCCCCTTGTTTTGTTCTCAGGTGCAGCTCAAGAGCGATGAGATGAAGACATTTGCGATGAAGATCCTAAAGAAGCGCCACATTGTGGACACGAGACAGCAGGAGCACATCCGCTCTGAGAAACTGATCATGCAGGAGGCACATTCCGATTTTATTGTCAGGTACCTCCAGTGACGAGCACCTACTACTACATTACCCTTCAGTGATTGATATCCAGTATTATTTCAGTGTCATTGATATACCGTTATAATTTTTGTTATATTTTGAATTAGATTTTATTTTTATATTTTCTGTTTTAATTTTACATGTTAATGTTTGAGTAATATTGTTGTGTTTTTATCATTTATATTATTATTATTTTATAAATATGTCCATTTAGTTTTGAAGTTTGTAGTTTTAGTTTATTTTGGTTATTTTAGTACTTCAACTTTAAACGAAAATTAGAAATGTTGCTTTGGCAACTAGCTGAAATAAAATAAAAGTTTTAAAAAATTTCAATATTTTATTTTACAAGTAATGACATTTTTATGCTTTAATTTTAATCAATGATAACAACCCTGTCCCTCTGAACCTCTTCTGTCACTTTTGACCGAAAAAAAAAAATTTACCTTTCAAAACAGGAAATGAGTGGAAATTGTTTTTTTTACTTCATCGGAATGGGATGAAACTTGGTGACTTTTGTCACATTAGCTATTTGAACACAAAAAAAATCATGGACATGATTTGGATATGTTAAAGGCTAGTAAAATAAAAAGTCACACTTGGTACCTTCATGGTAAAAAATGACAGACATAGGAAATTAATAGAAAATATGAAAAAAAGAGGAAAAAATAACAAAAAAAAAATTATGAATATTGCATAGTATCATAAAATCTCCCTAAAATTCTAAAAGATAATAAAAAAATTTTATTGAACAAAAATATATAAGATTGATTTTCCTGAAAAAAGTTACATTTCAAGGCATCATTCACTTCGTTAATGTACCAAGTGTGAGCCACAACTGCAGAGGCTTAGAGGGTTTAGTCAAGTGTAATGTAGGTAGTTTTTGCTTTGACATCAGAAATTTGACAACATGTGAAAATACTTCAACCCTTGAATTTGTAGAATGGCATTCTGACTGTGTTCCTCTTGTTTTTTCAGACTCTATAGGACGTTTAAGGACAGTAAATACCTCTATATGCTGATGGAGGCGTGTTTAGGTGGAGAACTGTGGACTATTCTCAGAGACAGGTAAGACTTGTCAATTCACTCTTGATCAATGTTTTTTTTTTCGTACAGTTGCTGTCTGAGTTTCAACAACACAATAGTCCCGTTTCTTTCCTAATCACAGGGGCAACTTTGACGATTCAACTACACGGTTTTACACGGCATGTGTGGTGGAGGCATTCGCTTACCTGCATTCCAAAGGCATCATATACAGAGACCTCAAACCAGAGAACCTGATACTAGACCACAGAGGCTACGCCAAACTGGTGAGGACAGGACACTATCAAATATGGACACCCACTACTCGCCCTCTAGTAGTTTCATGAGGATAAAAAGACAATAATAATCTGCAGTCACCAACAACATTGTGCTGCTTTATTGTTCAGTACCTCAAAAAGTATTTGGAGACTGAAGCTACACTTAAAGGGGTCATATGATGCGATTTCAAGTTTTCCTTTCTCTTTGGAGTGTTACAAGCTCTTGGTGCATAAAGAAGATCTGTAAAGTTGCAAAGACTAAAGTCTCAAATCCAAAGAGATATTCTTTATAAAAGTTAAGTAAAATAGCATCATATGACCCCTTTAAGAGTGTATGAATAGTATTACGTTAGATAATAAAATATCAAAACAATTGGTATTTATTTAAAAAAAAAAAAGAATATGTTTCAAGCTTCACAAAAATAAATGTTAGGTTGTAAACTAAAAAGGAGGGGGGGGGTTAATTGAGTGCAGTTTGCTTTGCAAAAATGAATTCATACAGGTTTGAAACAACATGAGGGTGAGGAAAAAATTATTTTCTTTTTTGGATGGACTATACCTTTAAAGAAGTCAGATTTTGCTTCTGTCAAAGGTGACTCAAGCATGAAACTTAAAATCTTGTGTAAAACTTTTAAAGGTGGATTTTGGCTTTGCTAAGAAGATCGGCTTTGGAAAGAAGACGTGGACATTCTGTGGTACACCAGAGTATGTGGCTCCAGAGATCATCCTGAATAAAGGTCATGACATCTCCGCAGATTACTGGTCCCTCGGCATCCTCATGTATGAGCTGCTGACTGGCAGGTCAGACACAGGGCTTCACGTCTTTGAAAACACCATTTCAAACTGATTAAACATTATTAATGTATTAAGACTTTGGATTTATACTACACGTGCAATGGTTTTTAAATCCTCTTTATTTTTCAGTCCTCCTTTTTCAGGACCGGATCCAATGAAAACGTACAACATCATTCTTAGAGGCATTGACATGATAGAATTCCCCAAAAAAATTACTAAAAATGCTGCCAATCTCATCAAAAAGCTATGCAGGTATGTCCATCACTATAAAACCCATTGGCTGTCTATTAGCGGTTCTTGTTAATGCAGATTTCTCTTTTGTTCTTCTCAGAGACACGCCATCTGAAAGACTAGGAAACTTGAAAAACGGTGTCAAAGACATCCAGAAGCACAAGTGAGTTGGATATTCACTTTAAAACATGAACATGAAAAATGAGCTGATATAGTTCTGTGAATCATCTCATGTAATGAACGTGTTTGCAGATGGTTTGAAGGGTTTTACTGGGATGGATTGAGGAAGGGGACACTGATGCCCCCCATCATCCCTAATGTAAGTGCTTACGCTCATGCAAGGCAGATTTCACACTGATGTTAGACCAGAAACATACTCTATGCACGTACTGTATGCATTACGGGGTTTGTAATGGTCACAAATCTTAACTGGATGTGTTTTTACTCAGATAGCTAGTTATAAACATGTCTAAATTTAGCAAACTTGCTTTGGTCTCTACGAACATTGCTTGGGGGAAAAAATGAAAAACGTAAGAGATGTGTGTACATTACTTAACAGTTTGGAGTAAAAATATTTTTTTCTTGAAATAAATTAATACTTTTATTCAGTAGGGATGCATTAAATAGTTCAAAAGTGACATAAATCTTTTGCAACATTATAAATATCTTTACTATTTCAAATAAATGTAAAAAAAAAAAAAATCTTGAACACCAAATCGGCATATTAGATTGATTTCTGAAGGATCATGTGACTCTGAAGACTGGAGTAATGATGCTGAAAATTCAGCTTTGCACCACTGGAATAAATTACATTTCTAAAATAAATTAACTTCGAAAATAGTTAAACAGCAATATTATTTCACAATATCACTGTTTGTATTGTATTTTTAATCAATTGGTGAGTATGAGACTTTCAGAAACATTTAAAAATGACCAACCCAGACCGTTGAATGGTAGTGTATAACTCAAATGCTAACAGATTCTCTCTTTTTTTTTTTTTTGTGGTCATACAGGTAACATCATCCACGGACACCAGTAACTTTGACAGCTTTCCAGAGGACAACGAAGACCCACCACCTGATGATAACTCAGGCTGGGACACAGACTTCTAAACAGGCCTAAACACACACACGTGCACACATACACACACAACACTGCTCATGAAACATGAGGGGAACAGGGTCACATCACAGGAGAGTGAACTGCCTGTCAGAAATCATAGCACGTCAGCGGTCTTAACCGCGGCTTGTGTACTGCATCATCACTGTGTCTGTCACGCGACTCTGTTGCCCTTTCGGGCTTGAACTGATGGTAAAACTAACGACATTATTAACTGTCATATTTTCTTTGAAAGCTGAAGCTGCGATTATGGTAAGGGGCGTTACACACACACGTACACACATACACACACAACACTGCTCACATGGGATGTCTGCCTGGGATAGACATGCTGCACTACAGGATGGACTGGAAGGGAAATGTGGGAACAAGCAGAAGGAGAAGAGGTGAATGAAATTAAGTAACTCTAAAAGGACTGGCGAGACCCGGAGACAAAACATGAATCTCTTACGTGAGCATGTGTCTGTGTGCGTGTTCACCACTGACCCATGATAACCACCTTTACTGTGAGATGACTGAGGAGACAGTCCATTTAGGGAAGAGCTTGTGACCTCAGTGATTTGTTCTTCTCCCTGATTGGCTGTGAACTCTTCATTCACCAATCCGTGTGCAGACTACTCTTAAAAAAAAGACCACACTGTATGTCGCAGGAGTCCAGACAGACCTGAATGTTGCTCTTAAAGTAATACTCGTTCATTATAGCACATGTACATAATAGCATAGTATCACTACCCTGAAAAACTGACGCATATGCCGGCGTTCCTGACATGTATCGGATTATCTGTCATGTGCATTATAATACATCAATCGTTAGACTCCGTTTCACCTTCAAGCACACACAGACATCATAGACGCATCTTCTCGCTGATAATTTATTGTCCTGGCGGACAGCCATTATAGTTTATGATATTCTGAAATTCTGATATTCTGCTGGTCTTCTCAAACGTCATCCCATGAAATGATGTGCCTCAAATTCATAGCTACATTAATAGTGTACTGTATTTATTGTCTCAGATTTATAAGAATTAGGAGATAAGTACTGACCACTGTGAACGGCCGGATTTTAAACAGGAACAGAGTGTCATTAAAAGAGGAACGGATGTGGGATTGGTTTGCCTTCTATGGCCATTTCTTAAAACCAACTAATTCAAATGCAAGTACAACATAATCCTGATTTCTCCAGAAATTCAGCCGTATCAGATCAACAGTATTAGTGCCTTAAATCAACGGCATTCTGCGACGCTCCTCATGCTGCATGTCAGAATACAATCCCCTCAGCCTGCTGCTGTCCATCAGACGCTCTTGTCTAGGTTTTTTTTGTTTTTGTTTTTTTACACAATAAAGCAACTGTTTTAGACACTCCCTTGTGTCCTCACACGATCTTCCACTGTCTTTTATGCATCTGAAATGTGAACTGTTTTAGTTTTTTTTAATTCCAAAATGGACATTCTGTCCTGTTTATTCACCCTCATGATGTTACAAACTTATATGACTTCCTTTGGAACACACAAGTCTCTTCTTGTGTTCTAAAAATGCTTTTTAAAAGGTTTTTGAAAGGTGTCTTAAGCTCACCAACAATGCATTTATTTAATTAAAAATACAGTAAAATATGATTTGTATTATATACATATATAATACTGTGCATAATTTATTATATTTTAAAATGTAATTTATTTCTGTGATTCAAAGCTGAATTTTCAGCAGCCATTACTCTAGTCTTAAGTGTCACATGATCCTTCAGAAATCGTTCTAATATGCTGATTTGCTGCTCAAATACATTATTACTATTATTATTATTTAATGAATATATTTATTTGAAGCTTGACAGTACATGGTCTTTTTTTATATAGAAAAGCATGATCAGGACATTTTTTTTTTAATTTCACCTTTTCATAAATCCTGAGGGTGAGTAACTGATACTTTACTTTTTGGGTGAACTGTTACTTTAAGGGCATGAAGCTGCTGGGTCTCTCAGATGTGATCTTACAGCTGTGTGATATGATGCCTTCAGTGGCAAAGCAATTTATCTTGATCACATTTAGATACTTCATTCTCAACACTACTACAGGCTGTGTATTTGTACAGTGTGCTACATTCCATCTGTATTTAAAGTTGAATGATTGCAGTGAGTAAAGTTCAGGGCTGGAAATCCAAATGTTGCTGGTTTGATACCTCAGAGGATATATGTAATATGTAATATATGTAAGTCACTCTGGATATGTCTAAAAATGGATAGGTAAATCTCACAAAACATACACTGGTTATATTTCACTCAAAAATCAAAAGAATGAATATAAGAAATTAAATTCCGGAAAAGGAAATGTAATGCCTTTAGGACCATTAAGATTATTAAATAATTTGTTTATATATTTATTTTTCATTATGCCATTTTCATAACCAAGTACATTACTGGATATGCATATGAATGTTTTACTTTTGATGCGTGTTCTCCATGAACACTATACAAGTCAAAAGTTAATATTTTTAATGAAGTCTCTTATTGCCATATTTGATTTAAAATGCAGTAAAACCGTAATATTGTGTAGTATTATTACAATTTAAAATAAGTTTTCTGTTTTAATATGATCTAAAATGTAATTTATTAACCTATTCCTGAATCTCTATATCTATCTATCTATCTATCTATCTATCTATTCAGTATGCATGTATATATACATATATATATATGTATGTGTGTATGTGTATATATATATATATACACACACACAAATATAAAACTGTTGAACAGTTGTCCTACTTAATATATCCGTGAAAACCATGACAGTAACCCCATTTATAATGTTACAAATTATTTATTTCTCCAATAAATACTATTCTTTTGAACTCTATATTCATCAAAGGATCCTGAAAAATGTATCACCGTTTCCACAAAAATCTTAAGCAGCAAAAACTGTTTTCAACATTGATAATAATAAGGACCATCATTAATAATTGAGTATCAAATCAGCATATTAGAATGATTTCTGAAAGATCATGTGACACTGAAGACTGGAGTAATGATGCTGAAAATTGCTTTGCTTAATAGGAATAAATTATATTTTAAAGTATATTATAATAGAAAACTTTTATTTTAAATTGCAATAATATTTCACAATATTATTTTGTGAAATAATATTCAGTATTTTTATCAAATAGATACAGCCTTGATGAGCATAAGAAACTTCTTTAATAAACATTATTGATCCCAAACTTTTGAATGGCAGTGTATTATACTGTAAAAAAAAAAAGTTTTCTCAGGTAACCTAAAATGTACATAATTTAGTCACGGGTCAAATTAAATATAAATAGCACATTAAAGTTAAAAGTTACACACTTCTTTGTGTGCGCGCTGTACAGGTCTGGTATAAAGAGTGTTTTTGCTCAGGTGGCCGAAATGTCCGCCCAATAGACCAATTCAGAGTAGACGTCACAGTTACGTCACTTGCAGCTGCGCACGCATAGTGGTTGCAGAAAAACACTGGGAACAAGTGGAGGTAAATGGGTAAAATCCATGGAATAAAAGAAAAAAATATTTTTGTGCCTTTTGATGTCAAGATCGGAATGCAAAAAAATCGCTGGGTGACAAGCTCTTGTAATATGCGGAGAACATTTTGAAAATCACATCTAAACAATATAATTTATAATCTTTTTAAACCTAACTATTTTGTACCGTATCCGTGAAATTCTCTAGCTGTAAAGGCTATCTCTCCCGGGTTTTCTGCAACCATGATGCGCGCGCATCCTGAATGTTTACAAACCGATAATAGGTCTATAGAGAAAAGTTTTGCTCAGCAAGAAAAAAAATTAGAGGGAACATTGCTGTTGAGCAGTAGTGTATAGTAGGGCTGGGTAAAAAATATCGATATCTCGATATTAATCAGTTCTCATTTTTATGGAAAGATATCGATTCTTAAATCCCAAGAATTGGTTAGTCTAGCCTGTTTTTCAGTTAATGGACGGAACATTAAGGGCACTTCCCATCCAATATATCGCAATAAGCATTTTGCGTTGGTACTTTTAATATGAAAAAGTCTCAAGATTTCAAATTCTGTCCATTGTATTGCAGTATTCAAACAATAAAGGCCGTTTTGGCGCTGTTTAATGTGGAGTGACAGATCGCTGTAGCGCCTCAGTTCAACAGACGTGGCAGCGAGAGGCGCGCATAAACTGATCATCTCCTCCACATTAATACCAGTTTCAGCACAAAATAAACATGACTAAACATCCGAAGGTAAGTTAAAAGAAAGAGCACAACTTTACAATCCGTATCCTTTCTCATATAATCGCTCAATCAGTGTTTCAGCCGCGCAAAGACGTCAATATACATATATGTAAATACAATATACGTCTTGTAAACAATGTCAAGTAACGTCACATTTACCTCAGAAAAACATATTGGGTGACCATAAACTCATTAGTCAGAAAAATAAACGTTAGAGAGGGGAAAATCAGTCCAATTTAACCTTCAGTATTATAATAATGTAGTACCAACTGACTCTCATGTATATTTTACAGCATTAGTTGAGAGATTTTAGTTTCCTTGAGAAAATTTGGTGTGTAGTGTACTGTAGGCCTACCTGATATATATAATCGATATCGAATCGGTAATCAAATCGAATCGCAAGCTTGAGAATGAGAATCGAATCGAATCGTGAAATTTGTATCAAAACTCAGCCCTAGTGTATAGTCCCTTTGCTATATTACAAATATACTCCTGTTTCAGTTTAAATTACGTCACCACGTAACATAATGCTGCGTGTTTCAAGGCACTTCAGTGGACATTTAAATACAAATTTTTTGCATTACAGTAATGTGAATTGGACAGGCAAATAACAGAATATATATGGCTTTAAATGTCCTAAACACTTCATTTATAATATTGTTGGAATGAAATATGACCAAAACATGTTCCTGTCAAGTTTCATGAGTCTTACATATTTCCCCTGCTCTCCTCTCTAAACACGTCCTTGATGAGAGAACACGGGTAGGACCTCAAATTTGATTATTTTCCGCAATTAAATTACTATTTGTCTGGCATCACCAGAGGATATGATGATGATCTGCTGTTTTCACACAGAAAAGGACATATAGCCTAGATCTTCTTACTCTGGAGAAATAAGTTCACATGCTGCGGCTTCTCTCTCTCCCGACAGAAAGGTGTTTTCGTGTTTTTTGTCTTGTGAGTCGCAGTGTTTTTGTACGTATTCGTCGCGTCTATCTGTCTCTAAGCGCGCATACAGTCGTGAGTTTCTGCTCGATGTCGGCAGAACCACTGACAATAAAGCAGACTTGACTTGACTTGGCTTGATAAGATTGGATTGGAACACAGATTGGAAATTAGTTTCATGGTAAG